TTTAAGATAATATTCATTGATGTTTTTCCTTATTTTATTTATAATACTTTGGTAATAGTTCATTTATTTTATTAAAGTGTGCAACAAATAGGAATATTATAAAGAGAATGAAATCTACACATTTAAAGGAGAAAGTGCTAGAAAGTTGAAGTCTGAAGATATGCATGATTATGCTTCTCTAATGTACGGTCGTGCTTGATGGCAATCCTCTTTGCATGAATGAAGTTAGGAGCATCAAAGCGGGAAGACTGGACTCCTTGGATCATGGAACTCAAGGTTTCTAGCCTTGGTGATGGAAATGACCGAATGGTGTATATGGAGGCTAGGTGTTTGATGAAATGATAGAATGGTACTCTAAGGCTTTTGGCTCACTTCATTGATGGATGAAGGCCACTCCTAAAGGTGAGAACACTCACGGTGAAGATAAGGAAGAGAGGTGGCCGAATTGACCAAGGTGACTAAGGAAGGATATTAAGGCTCAAAGGCTCTCTCAATATCATAAATTCCAAAGTGATTACAAGTTGCATAGCGTAGGGTATTTATAGAAGGGAGGAAGCATTTAGGGTTGCATTTGAGAGTGCTTGGCCAAAAAATGCAAGCCAAATGCACTTCAAATGAAACCTAAATTAACCTTTTATGTTACTTAGTGGCCAAGGATGGAATCTTTGGGTTTGGTTAAGCTACATCTAGGTGCATGAAAAGACCATGCAACCTAGGTGCCCTCTATTTGGGCCTAAGCTTTGCCAAGTCCAAAAACAAATCCAATGCCACCAAAAAAAAATGTCTAGGCCTATTTTCTCACCTTAATAAAATACCCTAGTCCAAAAAATAAAATCCTATAATCTAAGGCACCCCATAATACAAGGGTAAAATGGGAAATATAAGTAAAAATAAATCCTATGACTAAGATATCCCAAAATACAAGGGAAAAATGGGAAATACAAGGAAAATAAATTCTATGTCTAAGATACCCAAAATACAAGGGTAAAAATAGAAAATTAAAGACAAGGTTAAAATTGGAATAAAAATAAATTCTATGCTAACAAGGTTTAGGAGAATGATTAATATTTTTTAGCCACGAGAAGTATGTCTCTAGGGGTGTTAGCTCTCCTATCCTCTTCCAATCTCTTATCAATGGACCTAGTGATAGGTCTCACGTGAAGCTCCAAGGATGGTCCTCCATTAGTGCTTCAAGTGAAACACATCCCACATGCATGCCATGGTAAGCAAGGTTGTGTTCAATAGTATGCATGATCGTGCTCCCTTTAGAATGTCCCAAGCATGCCCTCCTTCAAATGAAGCACACACGTGTTTAGTTCCCACACTAAAGCACGACCGTGCTTACTCTTTTGCATGGTTGTGCTTATCATTTTCACAACCGTGCTTACTCACATGCACGATCGTGTTTACTCACATGCACGATCGTACTTATGTGTCTGTCCAAAATTTTGTTGTGTACAAATAGGAATGTCCTGAAACATTCTAGGCATCCAATTTTCTATCAAATTTTCTTCATAGTTAGTTTTTCTTGTATTTGTTATTGAGGTTTTTTAAGAGGTAAAAGGCCAAACCCTCAATAAAGAATTCTTTCAATTATGGTTAATTCTTCTCTCTATTTAATGGGTTCTAGTACAATGTGTGGCTAGTTATCTCATTTTAGGATTGTGATGTAATTATTCCTTGAGAACCTCCAATGATGAATTCGTAAATTTTGTTCTTGTTTAAATTGTTATATTACTTTAGTCCTTCCAATTTTTATTTTAGTTAATTAAAAGTTGCATGATCAAACTCTTTTGATTAACAATACCCTAAAGTAATAGAATTATTGTAAAATTAACATGATTAAGCTATTTTCATAATTGAATTAAATTATTAATTCGCTTTTACATGCAAATGTTTTAGTTTTAGAATGAATCACTTACAATCAATTTTAGTTTTTTTAAAATAAAGATTGTTGGTTGCTTGGAACCATAGGATTGTTAACAATTTCATAAGTATAATTGGAAACAATGAATTGTAATTCGTGAGTTTTATCTTTGGGAGGGAATCAAGAATAATGAATCACAACCCTAGGACTTTTTACCTTTGAATTTTCAATAATAATCTTTCTACTTTGTCTTTAATCACTAAATTTTATCAATCAATCTTGCTTGTTCAAACTAGTAAAAAATAATAGTAAGTTGGTAATTTCTTGAATCTAGTCCTTTGGGTTCGATATTTATACTTTGTTCATTGTTACTATCGCAATGAGGTACGCTTGCCTTAAGTGTATTTTACACACAACATAATTGTTGTTTGATTTGTGTGTGTATCTTATGCTTTGTATATATTGTTATGGATGAGATGTATTTTCACTCTCTGTGTTTGTAATGCTTGTGTTTGGGTTGAACACTATTTGTAAGAATAAAGCAAGTACAAAATGATAGGTTTAAGGAAGTTGAATTATAAAGAGAGGTCTTGCTCTGATAGTGTGGCATTGGGACTAAGTTTTAGGATTAATAGTGGTTTAGTAGTTGAAATTCTATTTACATGTGTTTTATTATCAGAACTTTAATGATTTAAGAGGTTGCTCTTATTTCTTTTGAAACAATGTTTTATATGTTTTATTTTAAATGGTGAATAAAGATGTAAACCCTTTTACAAGATTCCATGAGGAGGGTTATTATAAGTTATTTTTATTTTTTAGAATTTTTTATTCAATTTTTTGGGGTAAAATGGTGTCACATGTTTCATACCTATAAATTCCAATGGAATTCATACCTTGTCTTGAAGTAGTCACAAAACAAAATTGTAATTAATATAATATTGATAGAACAATCAAATTATAGATTGTTGAACATCATAATTAATATAATTAAATATATAATTTTATACTAAGAACACCATAATTTTATACTAAGTCAACTATAATACAATAAATCATGTTGGTTTAGTGGTCACTAAAATGTTAAATAATTTCATTTACTTGTATTCAAGTTTCATCTTGTTCAAAATTACCTTTATTTTTTATTATATGAAGAAATTCATGAAAACGATAAAAGGTTAATAAATAATAAAAAAAACTGTCAATATTTGAACTACATAATTAAATATATTATTTAATATAAATAATTTTTTATTTAAAATTATATTAGTCGGATTGCATTTGGGGTCAACTTATATCTCAAGCATAATTTTTATTATTTTAGGTATTATTCAAAATTTCTTAACTTTAATTTGGATAACAATACAACTTTTAAAAAGTGGTGTCCCACACAATGCATGCATTACAATATTATTTTAGCATGCAACATGTTTATTATATATAATTAAAATTTATAATAAATTAGATATATATATATATATATTTATTGTTTAAATATATAAATTATATTTAAAAAATTTAGAAATAAATAAATATTAAATATATAAATTATATTTTAAATTTATAATAAATAATTTATATTATAATAAAAAATTATTTTTATTTATTGATAATTTATTTTAAAATACTTTTAATTCATAAATAATTATCATAAATAAAAACTAAATTAGAGAAGAAGTTTAAAGAATTCTTATAAACTCTCTCATTGAAAAAAATACCTAAAAATAATCTTACACAAGATAGTGATTTATGTTTAATATATAAGAGTTGATATTTTATTATATTTTTTACTAAATTGTACTTTTGGTCTCTCTATTTTTGTCCATCTGTATTTTAGTCTTTTTGTTTTAAAATAGAGACATTTAGTCCCCCTACTTTCAAAAATATAAAATTTTGGTCTTACTATCAATTTGATGTTCATTAATCGTTAAATTTTGACGTTGTTTGATAATCTATCATCACTTTAATAACATGATATTTAGTGATGTTACATATAAAGATAAAAATTAAAAAAAAAATAACATACAAAGTATTTTCTTTTGTATCTATTTACAAGTGATTTGTATTTATTTTATTAATAAAGATTTTATTTCCATTTTTTAGTTTTTTTTTTATTTCTAAATTTCAAAAGTATATGAATAAATGTTAAAAATGATCATCAAATCTCAATTTGATGGGAGGACCAAAATTCTGTAGTTTTAAAATTAGAGAAGCTAAATATCTTTATTTTAAAATAAATAGACTAAAATTGCAAATTAATAAAAATAGAGGGAGCAAAAGTATAATTTAGCAAAAAAAAAATATACTTTTGATCCATCTATTTATTTTTAAGATTCAATTTGCCTCCACTAATTTTAAATGATTCAATTTAATCCTCTAATTTTTAAAAAATACTCAATATTATCCTCCTATTTAAATTAACATTAAATGCATTAATGAAATCAAACGAAAGAATATCTTTTAAAAATTAGATAACTAAATTAAATTATTTAAAAATAGTGAGACCGAATTGGACCATTATTTAAAAATAAATAAATTTACCTAGACAAAAAAGTTTTAGATAATTTTTTATTCAATTTGATTCGATTGTTTTTTAAAATATTTAATTTTATTTTATTATTTTAAAACATTCAATTTGGTTTGACCAAAGGATTAATTAAATTTTTTGTTAAAATCCATTTGAAACTCGTGTATTTTTCGTTAATGTTACGGCAATCATGCCTCTGCATTCAACTTAAACGGATTCACATCTTTAAGAAGCTACTTGTAGTGTAGGTTGTGAGTATTTTAGATGCCAGTGGTGGAAATCCTTTCTAAACATTCACCTATCATTGAATCGGTCTCTATAAGAATAAAATGATTCTTTCGATCGATCACCATTTCATGCTCATGATAATCAAACTCCATTTCTTAGTTAAAAAGAACAATTATCAAACTATTTGAGTTGACACATATGACCTTGTAATTACTCAACTTATTACCTTCTCAATATGTTAAAGATTCATGGACTCAATATGCTACACACACCCACATAGTTGAAACATGTAATGGTAACTTTCAATTTTACAAATCCTATATTATTCAATTCAAGACATGCAACAACAACAATGATGATAATTACCATTGTGATGTTATATCTATAAAATAAGTTGCATTCATTCCCATGCTTAACTTTTAACACGAAGGATATGTTTCTGCCTTTGGCTATATATCCACTTTCCGAACTAATTAAATTGTAGACTAAATGTTTACTGAAACTTAATTGGAAGGAGTACTTAAAACACCAAAGAAAGGATTTGTGATTGCAGAATTCAAGGCAAAACCAGCTGAATTTAGCAGCCTCATGTCAACCTTCTCATGAGAAAGATACAAGAAGTCGCCCGTTCTCTCAAAACCACATAGTTCAAGAAACTCTACACCTCCATTTAAACTTCCAATTCTATCCTGTTAAAAACATGAAGAAAAATCAATTAAGAATTGTGAAAAAATCAAATTTATACCTAAAAATAATTATAATATCAACAAGTGATTTTTTAATCTATAATTTTATTGAACTTTATTCTAACTTTCGAGGAGCCAATTCCCCATCATATATACACTTCGATACCCATATATTTACTTCTTAAAAAAATCTCATGAATGATAGATTTAAATATAAGAAAATCTTAATTAATTTTATCTAATTTAATGTTTTCATCTATGAAATTCCCTCCACTTAAATGACATCATATTTCTAATGATTCTTTATTCTTAATATCAACTTCCAATAAAGGATAGTATGAGAAAAAAATAATTATTTTTAATTGAGATTAATAGAATTAACTAATTTTTTTAACAGTGTGCACATTAGTTTTATTTTTTAATCACATTATTGATACAATGTATCCCCCGAATTTGCTGATAGCTAATTTCTATCAAAAAAAACTTGGAAGGCGACTGACCAACTTTTATTTGGTCTCTCCTTTAAATCATTCTTTTTTTCATACACAAGATACAAACCTGAAATCTTACTTAAGGAAATTGAGTCTAGTATCAGTCACACTAACAATTTATTGGTAGTGTACACATTAGTTAGTTTACTTATATAGTGCCCCAGAAGGAATATATAAATAGAATGTCGTCTAAGGAATAAAAATATTTTAAAAGATAAACTTAAAAATGTATTTTTTTTTATGTATCCAAACTACAATAATAGCAATAAAGTTCAAACTTCAAAATATATTTATTGTTAATGATAAATTAATTTTATCTAAAAATACTAAAAGATAAATTATTCTAAAAGATAAAAATTAGTTTATCTTTTAGAATAATTTTATCCTTAGACAACATTCTTTACGTATATATATACTGGTACACATGTACATAATGTAGCCAATGAGTTGAATATTACCGACTCTATACAGTTATATATTCTTCCTATTTTGCATAATTATCCTTCTTTGAAATATGCAGAATTATCACTTTTAACATTTTTGAAGTAATTATTACAAAAAAAAATTGCAATATATGACAATTTATCATTGGTTGATAGTATTAAAAACTTTAACATTGTTAGAACATTTTAATTAAATTCTATAAATATACTGGTCATGTAACATTGATGAATCCTTGTGTTTGGGTAAACATTTCTAAAAGCACCTCTAGGAGAGAAAAATAGAAGAGAAAATTAAAATAAGTTAATCCATACGCTAATTAATTTGTAGAAGTTTTCTTCTATTACCTTCGCAAATGTCTTTAATTTTAACTCATGCATAAGTTAATTTTAGTTTATGAAAAAAATTAATTTGATTTTTTCCTATTTTTCTCTCCTAGAAGTACTTTTAGAAAAACTTATCCAAACAATCACTTAATACTTATTAAATTCTTCTTTAAGCAAATTTTGTTCTGTAGATAAAGATGTATATTGGATGTAAAATAATTCCAGCACGTACAAAGACTGAATAGAATAGAAAAAGTATAGCAAAGACTCATAAGTTTCAATAGCTCTCAATTTTGGTAAACTTTCAAAACATATTTCCTTTTTGGATATAAAAATGCACATTCAATAATGTTGGAAGTAAAATTTCAAAGCACCAATTCAAGAAGAGTCCAATGCAAGAGATTGAATCCTAAAAAATTTATGTTCATTGAGTGAAGGACTTGGCTGTATCAGATAAGTTCTGAATGAATCTTCAAGAATGTATCTAGTCTACCCTAATGCTTAAACCTTTCCAACTAAAATTGTTTCTTAACCTACCACTTCCCAACAAAAGTGTTCTGTTTAGAAAATTATGCCTTACCTTGAATAGTGGATTACTCAATCGAATTTTCCTGTACTTTTCCTCCTTGGGATTCTTGGCAACATTTCCAACATAGACTATAAGTGTTTGAAAGGCCCTTCTGACTCTTGCATCCTCACCCTATACAGAATTGATACAATAAATATCTTAAGGAAAAAGTAAAGCCTTTGATATCAACATCTATCAGAAAATTAGGATATTAATTGTATTAAGTTGGGAAGGAAAATAATATACATTCATTTTGACTCCTGTCATTATTTTAAATGATGTTCTTATGTGTTATGATCAAATGTACAGATTTATAAAACTTACTCGAAGACTATGCATCAAGCCAAGAGTTAGTTTTGAGTGTGTAATCATGCACACAACCCCTAGATCCATCTGATAGAATGAGACCCTAATTCCTCTTTTAGATCAAAGATCAGTAATGAGTTATGGGAAAGAAGAAATAAGTTTTTCACCTGATGGTTACGCTTAAGATTCCTCAGACATTCTCTCAGCTGCTCAACTTTTGCAGTTGTATAAACAGGCTCTGGCTTCTGCAATTTGAATAGAAGAAAAAATGATCTAAATATTAGACAACTTATAACAACAGGGTAAAAAGGGTTAATGGGAAATTAAAGCAAGGAACTATCAATTTAGTGTATAATAAAATACATCTTAATCATACCTTTTCTTGTTGTATTTCAATAGCTGATGATCTCACAGTTGCTTGGCCCTCTAAATGTAATCCATGTTTAGACCTTCTATTTAACTGTAAAAATATAAAAACATGGAGCCATTTTAGCAATAAAGAGTGCCAAGAGAGATATGTTTAGGGTTTGTTTGGAGAAACTTCTTCAAAAGTACTTATAGGAGGAAAAAAATATGAAGAAAAAATGAAATATGCATAAGCTAATTTGTAAAAATTTTCTTATATAGCTTCTCCAAAAATTAGAAAGAAGCTTATGCATTAATTAGTTTTAGCTTATGACGAAACTTATTTCAATTTTCGTTCATATTTTTTCATTTTAGAAGTACTAATCTAGAAGTTTATCCATACAGACCCTTAGAACAACATTAATTGTAACCCATGGTAGATCCAAGACCCTAAGTCAGTAGGAGTAATTTCTTTCTAAAAAAATAAAAATTAATAACAATAATTATCATACATACGAAAAGAAAAACATAAATGTTGAAAACAGTCACCAATAGGTTCAACATGTAAAATTGAGGGTGCAAAATACAGAATCTTTACCCATATCCTAATAATTTAATTAAAGTGAGGGAATGCATTTGTCCACCCTCAACATAGTGTGAATCCACCACCAATTGTAACCTTTTTCTTTTAGGCTTAAATATGTTCAAACTACCTTTAATTAGGCCGATTTTCAGACTACTACCTAGTAAATTTTTTTTATATTTAAATACCTGACTAATATTTTTGTTTTTTCAATTTAGTACCTGTCAATCTAAATGTCCACCTCACTCTCCACGTCATTGGCCACGTTAGATTTTAATTTTTTAAAAAAAAATTCGTTTCGCGATTTTGGATTTAGGATTTGGTGGATGTGTGGGTGGTTGTGGTGGAGGAGGGGGAACAAGAGGGTTTCATGGTTGAGATTGATAGATGGAATGCTGACTCTACTAGGCTGGATTTCTTGTTTCATATAGGCTCTCCTATAGAAGGTTGCTTGAAGAGGGCTTGGAGAGGGACTTTGGCTAACCCAACACGTCTACCTCAAAAATGGATAAGTGAGGAGAGGGTCTTGCCGGATCATGGTGGAAGCTTTCCTTGGTTGAGCTGTGAACTTCTTATCATCGGTAATAAAGGAAGGGTGAGTGCTCTTACCTTCCCACCACCCGCGGGCCTTCCTTTTATAGTTTTATAGAAGGGCTTACCTAATGTAGCACAGGTTCGAACCATAGGGAACCATAGCATGGGAGGATGTCTAATTCTTTTGCAACCGCAAGGCTGACTAATCGTACGTAGTTGGCTCGAATACCCCTTGTTCTGGAAGGCATATGAGTCTGAATGCTATGTTGAAAGTGCAATAGAGAAGGGTGTGAAGGGGTGTGAAGGTGGGGAGGTTGTGGAAGGTGATGGAAGGGAGCATGGTGGAGATGGTGGATATGTAGTTAGAAGTGGAGGATGTGTCGTAGGGTGGTGTGGTGATGAGGATGTGAAGGGAGAAGGATGGTTGGTGAGTGAGGATGAGCTTGCATAGTTCTATGGCGGAGATTAAGTGGCAGTGCATCAACCACGTCATCACTTAATAGAGGAAAACTAATTCCAAGTACTAAATTGAAAAGAAAAAAAAATTCAGATATTTAAAACAAAAAAAAATTAATAAGTAATAATCTGAAAACCAATCTAATTAGAGATAGTTTGAACATATTTAAGTCTTTCTTTTATATTGAACATGCTACTTTCTACTGGTTGATGAGCCACCCTTTTCTTTTATTTGAAGTTCCTTTTTGAGAAAATGTCCAACAATAAAGGGTGTTTATCATTTTATTCTCTGTTTCATGTAAAATGTATTGGAAATACTACCTCCTCATCTTCGTATGCTTTGATAAATACTTGTAACTTAAAAATCCCCCACACAAAATTGAAAGCATTTCTACGCAAAATGGTTACATCTATGGATGAAAATGTGATTGAATCCACTAAAATCAACATCATAATTTTCAAAAACAGAACAGAAAAGATGGACATTTTCTCTCACATGAACAATAAGGAACAGGTAAAGTTGTAAACCCTCTCGTTTTCTCATAAATATATTCTGTTTCTTCTCCCCCATTTCTCGAGTCATAATTACAAGCAATTCCTCAGCATGAAAAACTTTCTCACTATAAGGACTTCCCTACCCTATTGTTAGTTTTTTTTCTTTTTTTCTTTTTTGATCAACAGGAAAGATCCCTATTGTTAGTTTCCTATTAAAAAACAAATATCACACATTTTTTTTACATTAATTTCAATTTATAATAGGAAATTATTGCCTAAATAGAAATCTGGCACTAACAGAACCAAATTCTTTGCAGAAATATAGTTTTTTAAGTTGTTTCATACAACAACAAAAGTCTTACCCGACTAAGTGATGTTTAGTAAAACAATAAACCAAAATGATAAACTTTTTTGCCAGCTTGTCTCACATATCTTCCTGTTATGTTCATTACCAACCAACCACCAAACTGCTATATTTCTTTTAATGAAAGAAAATCTATTTCTGAAAACTGATTCCCTCCCCAAAAGTATCACACACCAGTTTTTAAACTGGATGAACCCTTGTTCTTTTTTTGTTTGTACTAAAGACAACATTTTTCTTACAAAAAAGACATCTTATTTTCATTTGAATGTATTATTAGAAAATAACATTGATAAACAAAAAAGATTCACCTGTGTGTCCATCTGTTATTAATTTTATAGTCTGTTAGATTTTATATTATACAATCTTCATGAAATCAAAGCAAATATTAAGGTACTGTTCTTCATCATGTGTCTCTGAACTAGTATTCTGCATTAGTATCTAATATTAACACAATGAAAACATACTTATTGATACAGTACCATTTAGGGACAGCATCAGAGACTATAGATCATTGTGAAAATGAAATTTGTCAAACCCAACGCAGTATGTCAAAAGTATTAATCCAACAATTCCATATATACATACATACATACATGTATAAATATAAATATATATATATATATATATATATATAT